GTTTTCAAAGACTTAACATGCATATATTTCCTTCTTAAGCCGTATTAGCAATAAAGCATCCTCCTAGGGATATAAAAACTGATAAATTTTATCTTGCATGAAATTAGGTTGAAAAGTCAGAATCGCAAGCAACTATATTCGAACACCTTAAAATAGAAGCAGCCCTAGCAGCATCGATATTGGGATGTTTAGCCTCTAACGCAGCAGCCAACCGTGCCAAGAGCTCACACAGCACAAAAGCAGTCAACCCCCAAACCATCTGACCAGGGTAGTCCTCGGGAAGGATAACCTCAGAATTCACATGAGCCAAGTTAGGTGGGAGCGCCATTGAGGGTTTTATGGGCGGGCTTAGGCTATCATAAGCACTACTAGCAAAAAAGCAAGGAAAGTAGCTAGGCTTTGACACGCGGGCGAAGGGTTTAGTTTTTAATACGCGACACTGAGTATGCTCGCTGTTGAGAAGCAGGTTCGATAAATGAACGTAGTGAATGGAGGCCACCTCTTCAGAGTTAGTGTAACTCGGTTGAATGTGAATGTCCGCGATAGCAACGTGCGGAGTGACCAAGGTACCTCTTTCAGAGCTAACAATGGTTGTCAAGCCACCCAGGATATTATATAAGGAAGAATCCAGCCCAATCTCTTCCTGCACCTCGCGTTGAGCGGCCTGCTCGGTTGTTTCCCCTATTTCCACATGTCCCCCTGGGAAACTCATCTGCCCCTTATGCGTAGTGACGTTGGTGCTGCGTTTGGTCAAGGTCACGCAGACGTCCTGAAAGCCGACCCCAGTTGGGGCTGGGGAGAGAATAACAAGTACAGCGCTAGAGAATGATGCCTGCTTTACGTATGATCTTTTCTGCGGGGAAAACCGAATCGTGTGATCTGCATCATGCACGTAAAAGTGATCTGGATACCACACAGAGCTAATGGATAATCTGAGAGCAAGCTGGATTAGCTGCCCCCATTCAGATATAGATTGAGGAAGCACAGATGCCAGAGGTTTGAGGGTCATGGACGGCTTTCCTAGGGGTGTGGCGCGACAGCAACATGAAAGTAAAAGCGGAAAGAAGTTGTGAAATGCTTTTCGTTTCGAACTATAATTAATTGTCGATATTTGATTTCATATTCAGAAAAAAACACCTATTTGATGCGTCCCATTTATACTATGCATATATCTATATATATAGATAGATAGCATTTGCATCGCTGGCGCTAACAATAGAGCCCATCTCACCCTCAATCTAAAAAAGAAGCAGTCCAACTATGAAGAATAAGTTCGACTTAACATCAAAAAAAAGTGTTGTTACAAAAGGTGTCTGCCATCAAGGCTCCTCGGGCACTCGGAAGGGAAAACGATAAAAAATAATCGAGGAAAAACACCCCTATTAACCACCAAACTTGACTCCTTGATATGGTCGTTTATTACTGCCATCCAGGTTGAATAGTGTTATTCTCAAGGGGCGCACGAATATGTTGGGGTTATTAGCCAACACCTCTAGGAAACTCCGGATGGCTAGTTCATAGTTGAGAACACCAACATCCCCGATAGGAACCTTGTCTGGAGAGCAATCTAAAAAAATAACTGGTTGAAGCTTGTACTCTAAACACTTGCCTTCTGCCAATTCGTCAAACGTCATGACGGCGCCCTTCTTCTCAAGCATGGCTAAGGTCGTTCCCTGGCCTGCCTCAAGCAGCCAAGAAGACAACGACTGCTCCAGCTCCGAGAAGCCACCTTTGTTGGTAGCAACAAGGACGGTGAAGTCATCGGCATCAGCATTCAACACCGCACAGTGGTTAGAGTGCTGTGCGACAAGACCTTCCAGCATAACGCGTGCGCCTGCTGGAGGAAGCCGTCGTTGGATGCTCGGGTTGTAAAAGATATCACTGTTAGCGCTATAGCAGCGTAAAACTGGACAGGCGCCTACAGGCCTCCGCTTGGCGTGGTAGGTGGCATGATCAAGAATAAGGGAGCCCCATAGGGTGATCTGACGTTCAAGCGAAAGTGGTGCCGGCTGCTGTGTGAAGAACGGTGGAAGTTGAAAAAAATCCCAATGATCAGGTTGCTCTGATGGCATTGGGCTATGTTTTTCGGAGCTCATTGTGGGTCAAATTTAAATATCTTACCTAGGATCCACCGTCGCCTGGGAAAGGGGGGGCCTGAGGTTTAAAATTAGAGATGATTTTCTTGTTTTGAAAAAAGGTAGGGAAGATATGGCATTGAGAAAATAAATAAAAACCGTTTGTATATACTTGATTGTTTGCATTTAACATTAGAAACTTTTGTTTGTATTCAAACACAACAATAATGAAAATAAATTACTAAACATTGTTTGTAAAAAATTTTCATCAAACTTCAGATTACAAGCCTTCGCTTTGTGGACCCTCTCTTTGTAACTCACGCGTGGCGTTATTCATTTTTTCCTTCTTTATCTTTCATTGAATTTCATATTTTCTAATCCTCTTCCGCTGCACTTCAAACCATCAGCGAAGTAAGAAAAAAAACGCGGCGCTTGAGATTACTTTCAAACGTCTGCACTGCCACTACATTGAATCGCACCATGGAAGTAATATTAATAATCATAATAATAATGCAATAGTAGTAGTATCGGTTATAGGGACGAATAAATACGAAAGGTTGCTAACGGAATAATTAAAGCTAAATGAGGCAAGTAGTCCGTTGCCTCCCCAGAAATCGGTCCTCGACTTTCGCCTCCACCCCCTAAGTACGCCTAATGAATGCTATCCACCACCTCTACCCCATTCGCCGTGACCGCCTTCACGAAGAAATACTGGCTTGAGATAATCACACGCTTCTTCACCTCTTCGATGCACTTTTGCATCAGTTCCACCCCCTCCACCTGCGTCAAGTCCGGCCTCCAGAAGCGATCAAGCAGGGCGATCACAAACGTGCTGCCGTAGCCGTGCGCCGCGTACGGGACCTCCTGCAGGGTGCCGAGGTAATCCAGGTAGTAGAGATGCGGCCCGCCGGCGTGGGTGTCGTCGTCTGAGGTACGAACGTCGTAGCCCGCGAAGAGGCAGTTCACCTGATAGGCCCCACCCCGGCTTCGGATCGCCGAGGCGAGCTCCCCGCGCATGAAATGGGCCGTTGAGTGGCAAGTGCTCTCCCGGCCGTGCTGCCGGACGCGATTGAGGGCGAGGTTGCACTTGATGTACTCGGTGAAGTTCACCCGCGGACCGTTCTCCCCGACACACGCTATCATCTGGTGGGAATTGAGCTGGGTGATCTTATCCTCATGGTCGGTGATCTTGATGAAATAAAAGGCATTGGTGCCACTTGCCGCTGCTATAGCAAAATCATTGCAACGAAAGGCAACCACTGTTTCCGACATAGTGTATGGGATGTTGCCTTATTTTGAACCTTCACCTTTTCTTTTATTGAAATACGTTTTCCCCTTAAACACTTCCAGGAACGAATTGCGATAAACAAACTGATATATATGAAAAAAATAATACAATGGTAAGTAGCATTTACGTATGAGAAGAACAAAAAGACGGAGAAGGAATACAAACGATGATAATAGTCATAACTTTGAGAACGTTAAAAGACGGAGGAAAAAGGAAACAGACAAACTCTGAGCAATGCTCAAAATATCATTAACAGAGAGTCCATCAAAATGATGTTACTTCGCATATGTATATACTTTAGCTCTATCTCAAGAGAGAAAAGTCTATTACATACTTCTAAGTGCAGTGGATTTATTCTTTCTATGTATCTTGATGCAGATTATACACACTCCCATTCGACGCTCGCATGGTCTCTCCCTTATTTAGATTGTATAGGGAGAGAAAGAGAACCTATTACGCAGTCAAAAACTTGCTCGTGAAGAATGACTTCTCGGTATCGCTACTTATAATGCTTGATCTTTCTTCTTCTGTTTTTCTATAAATTCCTTGCATGGGCGAAACGACTTACGATGGACAGGGCAGAGCCCATGTTTAGCCACATACTTCATGTGCTGCTCTACGGGGTAGCCCTTGTTGTCGGCAAAACAGAAAGCCGGGTAAAGTCCATCTAGGTAGTTCATGAGCTCGTCGCGCGTGACCTTTGCGAGGCAGGAGGCGGCCGCGATGGAAAGGCTGCGCTTGTCGCCTTCAATGATGGGATGCACCTTGCCGCCAATGGAGACGTCCGTGAAGTAGGCGTGGCTTTGATCGGGCACCGTGTGGCCGTCGATGAGTACCAACGGCGGTTGTATCGGCTCCAAATCAAACTCATCGGATGCGCTTTCGATCAGGTCGATGTCGCGCGGAACTACATAGCGCTTATCATAGTCGTGGCTAGCTACGGTACAGAATCGGCTGAACAAGTATTGTGCAATAGACGAGAACTTAGGCCGTGGGGCAACCTCGTGGGAGAATCGAGTGTCGTTCAACATGTGCCATATGGCAAAAGCAGAGCGATGCATAGAATTCATGGAAGCGGCATGGATATTAAAGATATCAATGTACGTATGGTTCGCAATACCGATGGACCACAGGTATAGATAGTTCCCCGCGCTGTTGTAGCCATGCAAAGTGATTAGAAAGGGGGTCTGCATGGACAAAATTTTCTTGAAGGGGAGCTTGCCTAGTCTTGCATGTGATTCAATCGACTTTGATGCGAACACGCGACTGGAGGTTTGGTCCGACCCACAATGGTGGACTATAAACCTTTTGTTTGCCGTGATGTCAAAAAAATCGGCATGACCCGTTATCATGGCGAACACTAAATTTCGTTGGCTTTCTGATACAGACTTGCTATCAAATATTTGGAATTGCTCCAAGGCGTCGTAGAGCTGGGCGTAGTCGTTGTTAAAGCTCGACATGGGGATCCGACATACCGCGGCGCCGACTACCGGGCCGGCAAGGGGCCCACGGCCCGCCTCATCACAGCCGATCACGATTGCGGTTTCCTTGATGCTCCGCCGCGGCACCACCCCGTTCTTTCGCATGTTCGCCACGACAGCATCGCGCTCCCTCTGTAGCTTGCGCAGGGCCGCGTGAGTGATGCCTTCCGTGGTAACACTTGGTAGGGCACCGCCGGCGACGGGTGCTTGAGGAAGCAACCCGTCCCGGAAAAGCTGATACCCCACGAAATCCAGCGTGGCATCGAGCGTCGGCTCATCGTTGTCGGTCCTTTTGTAGCGTACCTCGATTTCCTGCAACGCGTTCCATGTCAGGGGGAGCGAGGATCGAGGACTGGTAAATCTATGTGGGTGGTGAAACAACCGGTGTTGAAAAGCTCTGTGAAAATTCACGAATGTCCTATGTGGGTTGCTCTCTAAGGTAACGCTGTGCAGTAGACCAGGCAGGCGCCTGAGGGAGCTACACATGGCGTGCTTATAGAAACACTATACTAGGAACCTTTTTCTACAAAAGGTTTATCAAGAGAAACCATGCTATAATTATTTCATTACCATTAAAGAAAAGCAGCATCATCACAATTGAAACAGCATTATCGAAAGGTTTAGGCAAAGTGCATAAGCGAAGAAAATATTTCGAATCTTGAAGACGTCCGAAATGAATAAAATATAGAACGTTAGATAATCACAAATATTAGATCCCCAGTATAAAAAGGAAAAAATAGAAAAGCTTCAAGTCGCCATTAATTGCTCATAAAAAGTAAAATATTGAAAATTCAAGAAAGAGATATATGTATGTGAAGTCTTTGAAAAC